TATAATAAAGCAAAGTTTAAATTCTTATTCTTAATAATTAAATCATTTTCAAGCAGCAAAAGTTTTTCAAAACAATGAAATTTACTGATTTTAGTAAACCTATACATATTTGAAAGAGATTAAATACAGTGGAAATTCTCAGGCTAAGATTGTCTCGACACAAAAATAAAAATGCCTTTATACTTTTTAAAAATAAGCATAAAACTTTGTGATTTTGTTAATTTTATACAATTGTCTGTCAATATTTATTCATCAATTACTTTTAATTACTATTTGTGAAGAAACTATAGAGGAGTAATATTTATCTTGTCATATTATGATAACTAAAAAACTAAGATTAAGGAAAATATGATGTTTCTATGTATATATTGTCTACTTGGACCTTGTTTATTAATAGGACTTATTATACAAAATATCTGTTTTCACCGGGTGAAAATAGATATTTTGTTTTGACTAAGAAACCCTCTATATAAACATTCCAAGAACACGATGTATTAATAATCAACTAACCATTATAATATTAATTAATTTAGAAATTACATGCTAGGAACAACTAGAGATAGACATTAGATGCCATCTCTTAACTATAGTAGTAACTATAATTTAACTTTAAATTTAGAATTTTAGAATAGACTGGAAGAAAAGAATCGGTCCAGAGCAGGAGTTGAACCCACAACCTCCTCTTATTGTGTGGTGCACTGATCAGTTACAAATTATATCTAAAATTTAAATGTGTCTGGAAGGGAAGAGTTGCTCAGAAGTCTAGGTGGTGTAACTGGTCAGTGCACCACACGATAAGCGGAGATAGCAGGTTCGACTCCTGTTCTGGGCCAATTCTTTTCTTCCAGACTACTCTAAAATTCTAAATTTAAAATTAAATTATAGTTACTACTGTACTATAGTTAAGAGATGGTGCCTAATGTCTACCTCTAGTTGTTCCTAGCATGTAATTTCTAAATTAATATTTGTAGCATAATTTCTGTCCAATTAATTTGGCTGATGGTTGGTTGAAGAAATCCTCTTTTTGCTAATCAGAAACTACACCAGTATAATAAGTTCTATTAATAAATAAGGTCCAAGCAGACAATGTATATACAGAAATGTAAAACATAGATGTAAAAAGAATTAAAAGAAGATATGTTTTATTTTCATTGAAATTTAAAAATTATTAATATCTTTAAAATCTTTATTTTTGAAAGCAAAGCTATTTTAGTATAAATTATAAGAATATCATGAATTTATCATATCTGTTTTGATGATTATGATGCTGAGGTAAGCACTGTAAAAATATGGAAAGTATTCATGTGGGGAAAAAATTAAAATTCCATATTAAATATACTGGGTATTCCACTTAAACCAATTTGCTTGCATTATGAAATTAAGAAATAATTTTATCATTACTTTTTGTCAGACTAATTATTCTTATAAAATATTTTGGAAATGAGTGTCTTGTGGATTATTACATTTTGGTACACATTTGAACATGTTCAACTACACCTTATCAAAATGGTGACTTTAATAACTCAGTAGTATTATACATCTTCAGTTTATCTGACATATGAGCATTTGATTCATAAATTTTGCCCTTCAAGTGTCCCTACAGATAAAAATCATGAATTGACAGGTCAAGATAATTTAAATGCTACAAATTTTTTGTTGACAGTTCATTTTTCTGGTAAAGTATAGTTAGTTAACTGGGCATACAATTGCTCACATATTAGAAACTCTGGGTTTCCAGCATGCTGATCTTTCTTGTTTTTTGTGTGGCATACCAGTCATTCTGAAAAAATACGTTACTTTAAGTCAAACTCGTATACTTATGCTTTATAAATATGCTTTGCTCTTGATAAAATTAAAGGAAGAAAAGTAAAAAATCTCTATTAATTATGATAAAATATATTCTTTTTTATTTAGGATTTTTGTCTCATTCAGTTTCATTTTTACATATACAGGATGTTTCAAAACTATATGTCAGAAATGTAAAGGCAGGTAGAGGGGGGCTAAATAAGCAGATTTTGTATAGGAATGTGGATGTGGAAATGCAGCATTGAAGTCCTAGCATGTAAGGCAGTATTAACAACAGGTAAGTGAAAAAACAAGACAAAGAAAAGCAAAAATTTATTTATCAAGCAGTTTACAATAGCTGCTCGAAAGAGTGACTACCAACAGCAATACAAGATTCACAGAGGCAGCGCACGGATTGGTGTATATTAGTAAAAATGTCAGGCATATCACGCACGTTTCCAGCAGCAACAGACAATCGGGCAACCAGATCTTCAGATGTTATGGGACTATCATACACCATGCTCTTAATGTGACCCCAAAAGTAGAAATCCAAGCATGTCAAATCTGGAGAGCGCTGTGGCCAAGGAACAAATCTGCCCCATCCTATCCAATGCTGGCTGTAGATAGTGTCCAGGTGATTCCTGATGTTCCTCCATCATGCTGGAATCACATTGACCAGAAGTTCAGGTAAGACATCTTGTAGGAAGATGCTGTATGTGTGGCCAGTTAAACTAGGTAGAATGTACGGTCCTACAAAGTTATTGTGCACAATGCCTACCCATACATTAATTGAAAACCTTTCTTGGTAGTCATGTGTTCTTGTGCCATGTGGATTATCATGAGCCCAAAGGTGAGAATTATGGATACTCAACTGAGAAAAGGTAGCCTCATCAGTGAATAAAACATCTGCAGGGAAGGTGACATTGGCTGCAGACAGTCTTCTCTCATCTTTACACACGAGTACAAGCCTGCTGTAGGTACCAGCAGGCAAAGTTGACACGCAGAGGATAATTGGCAGGGGTCAATGCTTGCACTCTGCAAATGATACAGATGCATTCCATCTTTATGTAAAGTCCTCCAAACAGTTGCATGGCTCACACCCAACGCACGTCCAACAGCTCTCGAGCTTGTCATAGGACTATCCTCTGCTGTGTGTAATACTGCTTCCACTGCAGGCAGTCTGTGATATCTTCCAGTGCCCGTATCATGCCTAGAAGCATAAACCGATCTACTCATGCACAACTCCCAATGAAGACACTCAAATGTTCGGCGATCTGGCAGATTCCTACCCAGAAATTGCTCCGTGTACAGTACATCCTTTGAGCAGCTGCTCATTTCCTTGTGCAACCCCATACATAAAATGTATGTCGGCAAGCTCCAGCATTGGTGTAACGATGCATGTTGCTCAAAATCCATGTGGGGAATGATGATTCAAGCCAACGAAACGCTTTCATCCACTGAACTCAACAGCACCCTCTCACAACATTTCTGCACCCACATTCCTATGAAATCTGCTTATTTAGGTCCCCTCCACCTGCCTTTACATTTCTGACATATAGTTTTGAAACACCCTGTATATTTATTATAAGCAGACTTGTCAATATTGTCTTTCTGTTTGAACAATTCAAACATAACATATTTATTGCATAATTTTTTTCTCTATTTCTGGAGTTGTTTCAGATAGAAATTATCTGAAGTAACTCAAAAATATTCTTTTTAATAATTTCATTGTGTGCTAAGAAATTCTAGGAATTTCAGAAGTTTCTGAAAGTTTCTAGAAATTGTATAGATAATTTTTAGTAGTACAGTAGAACCTCCATTATCCGGATTTTCGATTATCCGGATTGTTCAAAATAAACAAAAATTTTACGAATTTGCTGATTTGCACTTGGCGAATCATGACATTGTTTATGTACGTGATGGAATGCATAATTTTTTTTTGTTTCAACAACATCTCACCCAGCACAGTGGTCATAAACTCTTAAATATATTTTACATAGTAATAAAAATATAACTTGACATATGTATTTATAAATAATTTATATTCAAATTACATTATTTCTATGACCAAGGGTAACGTAAGGCATGGACGAAGTGGGCCACCGCCTATGCCTCGCGGTCCGACGGGCCTCGCGCCTCGAAGGTTTACGCATTATTTAAAAACCGCGAACGCGACGAAAAAATTTTACTCATCATAAAACGATAAATAGTTTGTCAAATTTTTATTCATAAAAATGCAGTTTCAACTGCTTTTTATTTTATAAAATCCGTCTTCTTGCGCCACCAGAGGGCCTTTTAAACAATAGGTAGTCTGTTAGCGTTGGTCAGTAGTAGTCCAAATTCAATACGAACGTTTGTTTCTTGAAAATTTGATTATGATTTAAATACAGTATTCACTTTTAATATTACCGACATGTCATCGAAAAGAAAACGTGTTGTATTATCATTAAAAGACAAATTAAAGTATTTATTTCGATTATCCGGATTTTTCCGTATCCGGACTACCTTCATCCCCAGTTAGTCCGGATAATCGAGGTTCTACTGTAGTTAGAGATTTTTTTTGGAATGATATCAGAGTATGTGATGGAGAATAAGAAGATAAAAAAGAAATGTTCACATTTAAATAAAATTTGAAATTTATCTTTTATGACCATTAAATATTGTAAATAATTTTTTAATAACTGTGAAAATATGAAAATTACAACAATAATTTGTATTTTCTTATTATTTGTGTATTTCTGGGTTTGTATTTATTTATTTTTTTGTTATTTTTACTTAAGCTTTATCAAAAAATAATTTTGCTGTTATTTTCTTTTTCAATACTTTCACATGTTTGCTAAAGAAGTACTTTTTTGATAAGTATAAAATTAATAGAAAATGAACACTTTAAAAGCAAATTAAACTAAACTTTTGTGAAGAAATAATCATGCAGTTAGTATCAAAGAAACATAAGCTGTGAAAAGAAAAACAATCCAATATATAGATTTTTTGATTTTTGTATTTCTACTTGTATAGTATTGACAGTTCTATGAAATATTAGGTAATAAGTTGAAAAATTCTTAGTTTCTTGATTCTTCAAAAATGCAATTATTATGTAATATCATAGTTTGAAAAAAGAAAATACGCATAATTAAAATGAAAATTAATTAATTAATATATCAGCAATTTATATATAAACAAAAATTTAGTCTTCTCAATATATATGTATTATATACCTGACATAAGTTCGGTTTCTTCATGGTGAATTGGAAGTGTGTCAGAAGACAAAACAGTTCCAGACAAGGTGTAAATAGGAGATTCATCAACAGAATGAGTAGTCGTTTTCATTGTGGAATGTGGAACATTAATATTAGAAACTGAGGTAGGTGATAATTTGCTGATAGATGGACTTGAGCCTGGTTCACTAGAATGCATTTTTTCTTCATAATTTTTCATATATGATTCCATATCTTGCTCATAACTTTCTCCAGAGAAACTAACTGAATGAACATGTGGTTGAGCAGATATTTCTTGAGTGACACGTACAATATTACCTTCACCATCTGTTGCTTCGTACTGCTGTAGCTGTGTAGTTGATTGTAGAGTGTCAAAAGATTTAATAAATTCTAATGATTGTTTTTCAGCATCTGGACCTGTGAACTTTTGACTGTGAATTTTAGGTTCAGATACTTTACTAGTTTTAACTGTCCTAATAATAACTACATTTCCTTTATCATCAATAATTCTTTCTTCGTGTTTTTCATCTTTTGAATCTTGTGCTATAGATTTTTTTAAAAAGTCTTTAAATTTTTCTTCAATATTCGGTTCTTGTGTATCATCAGAACTAGATTTTTTGACCTGGACTAAATGTTTTTCAGTTTCTTCACCACAGTGATCTACATGATTGATTAATTTTGAGTCTGATTTATAAAATGTTTCTGATGATTCACTAATAGAATCACTTATTTCTGACTTTTGTAATAAATCATTAATTAATGTTTCATCATCTTTAGATGTTTGAGGAATTTTGACAATTTTCCTGATTCTTCTAATATGTTTTATGTTACCATCTTCATCCACAAATTTACATTCTTCAGGTTCTGATTCCTCGCAAGCTGTATCAGACTTTGCCAGTTCTTCATTATCAACCGAAGGAATTGGGGATGTTTCTGAAGCATCTTTTGTTTGAACTTTCACAATTCTTCTAATACGTTTGATGATTACATTACCTTTTTCATCAACAGTTCGTCTCTCTTCAACAGTTTCACTTGGTTCTTTTAAATAAGGACTTTCTCTTCCACTAGATGGATTACTATCGGGTGGAAGAGGTGTGACAATTCTTCTTATTCTACGAATAATGATATTACCTTTCTCATCTGTAGTTTTGATTTCTCTTATTTCAGAATCTGCATCACTGAAATCTGATCTAATAGATGCAACTGATTCCCTGCCAGATAACATATCACGTGTAATAGGAGACTCACATCTAGGATCCTGAAAGTACTTCTCCTGAAGGGAGTCAGTTTGACTCACATCAGGAGAAGTTATTTGACTATCATCACTAACAGATGATTTTTGAACAAATTCTTGAAGGTGTTTATCAATATCAGAACTCTGAGAATCAGGCATTTTTATTATACGCCTTGATCTGCGAATTATTTTTACATTTCCTTTATCATCAGTTGTTCTTGTTTCTTCCACTTCTGGTTCTGCTTGTTCACTTTTTTCAATATCTGGATTTGATAATTCATCTCTCTGAACTGTGACAATGTGCCTGATTCGCCGAATAATACGAATATTTCCAAGTTCATCCACAGTTTTAATTTCTTCCACCTGTTCACCTCCTTTCCTAGATGATATTACTTTAGTATCACTGAATCTATCTTCCACTTGTTTTTGTAGAGAATCCTCACTAATGCTAGTTTGATCCTTATCATCTTCATCAGAGTCATGCATTACATCAGGAAATTTACCTTTTTCAATAATGTTTCCTTCTTCATCAACTTCTTCATCTTGAACATCATCTTTAGTCAAGGTTAAAGATAAATCTTTAGTTACAATTTTTGACTGAATATGAGTTGTATCTAAAGAAACATATTCTTTTGAAGAGGTAGTATCATCTTTCAAGCTTTTAATAGTTTTAGATTCTTCAATTGAATCAATAATGTTCTGATCTTCTTCACTCACATTTAAGACACAAGTTTGATTTGTAACATCTAATTTCTTTACTATTTCAGACACTGGATGTATATTTCCTTCTTTATCCATATAGGATTTAGTTTGATCTGGGGCAGATTGTACATTACCTTCATAATCTAAGTACATATCTTGAGTATCTCTACGAAGTTGAGAATCGACAACATTTCTATATGCTTGCATCATCCTATTTGGATCTAATGAATCTGTGCTTGAAGCCATAAGAGTTTCTTCTCCAGATGTTTGTATACTATTTAAGCTTGATGACATAATAGAATCAGTCTCAAATTGATAAGTAGCATGAGTTGCAGCTGTTGAACTACTTGGCTCTAAAGAATCTGTACTTGATATTAAACTTGGAATGAATTTAGGCTCATGTTCTAAATATTTTGTACTTGCTATACATTCTTCATGCAATGAATCATCAAATTCTACAGTATCAATACCTTTATCAGACAGTTGAGATACATCTAATTCATCTTTAGGAAGTTCTAAACTTTCACGCAGGGAATCTTCATCTAGGTCTTTTTCCTCATATAAAGAATCTTGCATTAATATTTTTTGATCCTCTTGGAGTGAATCTACGTCTCCAGTTTTATCTTCTTTCAAGGAATCTTGTTCATGATCTTTAACTTCATGGAGAGAATCATGTTCTAGTGAATTATCCTGATCTTCATTTAATGAATCTTCATTAGCATCATGACTTTCTACTGTTAAAGATGATTTTGCAGGTGTTAATTCTTTAACACATATGTCTAATTCCTTTGTTTCCTTTTGCATTAGCACAATATTATTTAAATTTCCATCAAGAGAATCGGAATCTTGTTCTTTTGGTGTTGGGGATGGAATTTGATCTATAGGCCTAATATCCTTTTCTAAACTTTCACTTAAAGACTTTATTTCAGTTTTTCTAATACTTTTTAAACTCTGTTTGGGCATTGGTTCAACTTGAAAGCTTTCAACATTTGTCTGAGCTTGTCTAATTATTTCATCAATTTCACTTAATCTTTTTTCATAATCATCTGAATCTATTGAATCCATATCTTCTGGTCCAGATAATGTTTCTTGGCTTGTTTCTGATGCTTGACTTTCATGTCCTTCTTCTATTTCTGAAAGTCTAGCTGCTTCTTCACGTGCAACACTTTCTATACGTTCTGCTTCAGCACATTCTCTCTCTAATCTTTCAAATTCAGTGAGTGAATTCATTGAAACGTCATCATGTTCTCCACTTTTACTTATCGATGGACGTCCATTTAATGAATCTACAGATCCTTGGCTTAACTTTCTTCCTGTTGCTATTTCTGCTTCTAATCTTTCGAATTCTTGTAAAGAAGACATAGAAGAATCATCATGTTCTCCACTTTTTGTATAAAGTTTAGGTCCAAGCAAAACATCCAAATCTGAGAACACCTGTTTATTATTTTCAATTAAGTTCTTTGATTCTTGTAAGTCTTCATCAAATATTTCTTCATCTTCTTCTTGATGTGTATACAGATCTCCATAACCAGATTCTACATATTTTGGAATCTCATCATAATGAGGTTCAGCTGCAAAATGAACTCCATATTCAAAATGAGTCTTATTATCAGTTTCTTCAATATCATCACTACATTTATCACTCCCAATATCCATTGCTTCCTCCATGATTTCAGCAGATTCTTGTTGAAATACACTTTCAGTGGGAAAACCTTCTTCTCTAGATTCCATATCTGCAGTGAGGGCAGTTTCATAAAATTTATTAACAGTGATATCAGTTGGTTCATCTGTTTCAGATTCACTAAATACATTTTGATGTAGATAAATCGTTTCTGATTCAGTATGTTTTACACAGATGTCTTCTTCAGAAATTGAAATATTTTTTTGAGTAATAGTAGCTAATTTAGATAATTGCTCACTTTCAGGTAAAAGCATTTCATCTAAAATTTCATCTGATGGCTCAGGAGTTATTGGTCTTTCAATAATATCAGTCAAACGATCATCTTCTGTTTGTGATTCATCACTAAGAATTTTCTTAATTTCTTGATCAACTTGATCATCAGATATAGATATGCGTGTGCGTATATACTCTTCTTCATTAAATATTTCTGTTTCTTTGATGTCAGAAGCAGAAACTGATTCTTCAAAAGCATTTTCTATGTTTTCTGAATGCATTAATGTGCTCTCAGGTATATCTTGCCTTGCAGATTTTTGAGAAATATCATAAAATGTATCTTTTGTTATATCAATTACATCAGTTTCCTTTATTTTTTCAATAGTAAATGTTTCATCATCATATTCAGGAATGTAACTTACTGCAACTGGTCCATTAAGGTTAGCATGTGATATAAATGATTCTGTTTCTTTATCACTTTTTGTACTTGTGTCCTGTTTACCAATATATGACATTTGAGAATGAAAATCCTCTGTATATTCTATTTCTTCACTAACTGGAAATTGTTTATTGTCATATTCATCAGTTATCAAATTGACATCTGAGGAAATAGCTTCTATTTTACCATTAGTAATAAAAATGTGTGATTCTTTTATCTCCATTGATTCTTTTGTTAATTGAAAAGTTTTGGAAGTAGGAGAAGTTTCATCTGCCTTTTCATAACTCAGTTCTTTTATTTTGTCATCAGGTTTTATTTCATCTGTTTTTGTTGTTGAAGTTTCAATTTCTGCAGGAAATATTTCTTCATCAGGAATTAATTTTCCGTCATCATCACTCTGTATCATATCAGGCATAATTTCTTTGTCATCAGATGCAAATATCTGTGAATCTGTTTTAATATCATCTTCATCTGGAATTTTGATTGATGCATTTTGAAATAATGGGCTTTTAGCAACTTCTGTTCTGATTTCTTCAATAATTTCTTGTGCAATTTTGGTTGCTTCCTCTCTTGAAGGAATTTCTAAACTCTTGTCAACTGATTCACTTTCATATTTATCTTCTTTTATTTCTAATTTTGAAATGCTTTCTTCACTTAAAACTTGTTCTTCTGGAACTACTGATGACTGTTCAGTTGTCATACCAATTTCAAAATCTTCTAATTTCATTCTCACAACTTCATAAGGACTTCTAACCATTTCACGATTTACAGCTTCACCAACATCAATATTATCAATTCCCATAAAAGCAGTATTATCAAAAGCCATTTGTGTTCTGTATTTTATTTGGGCTTCTGATTCTGATTCACAAATTATACTACTTTGTGTCGTTACATCTGTTGTTTTTTGAACAGTATCAGTTATATCTGAAGATGGTTCTGCATAAAATACTTCTTGATCAGAATATTCATTTTCACTTATTAATTTCTGTTCCTCTATCTTTTCATCTACATCATCAAGAATTAATGGGCTCTCTGATTTTGAATGACTTGTTTTTATATCAGTACATGAATCTATATCTGTTGAGAGTATTGAATGATATTCTGATTCATCTAACTTAGGAGGAGAAATAGGAGGCGAAATAGGTGGCATGGATTGTGAAATTGGTGAATGGATATCAATAGGACTTTTAGCAGAAAGATCTTCTGGTTCTTTCTTATCAAGAAGAGTCGAATCGTGCTCTTCAGTGTCAATAGATTCACTTGCTGCCCTATGCTGCTCTTCTTTAGCATGCTCTAAAATGTTAGTAAATAGCATTAGTGTTAATTTAAGCTTATCTAGGATAGTAATTTATAAATATTAGATTATTATTTGTTAGTTTAGGTTAATGGAAAAAATACTAAATATTTATATTGTTAAATATTATTTTTATATTAAAATAATGATTATTAATTATAATGAAAAATAATAAATATTTCAAGTATTACTCAATTTATTTATTGACTTATTTATAAATATAAAAATATGTAGAAGAAACTAAGTCATCTTCCTTTCCATCCTGTCCAATCACAAGGAACAAAAACTCTTCCTTCAGAGCTGATCTTTTATTAGAGGCTCTGCCTTTGCAAAAGTATGTAAAATAGTTTGAAACAGTTTACTCAGTTTCTTCTGTATTTTTATATTGTGAATATATTGTCTGCCTTTTTAATTGAAATTATAACTTATTTATCTTTTGAAAAAATATAAAAGTACCATTATTAAAGTATATTCTATTTAAGCTGTGCAATGTTTTGTTTAGTTTAAATTGGTTGAATATTCATTCTATTTTAACATATTTTGTGAATTTGAATTTTTCCTTAAGTTTAAGTATGTGGAACATACATTCTACTTTTGTTTTACAATTGAGATCCCTTAAAGAAAGACATTGAATATGCCCAATAACTTTACTAAGTGATATTAAAATGTATACTAAACTTTAAGGTATGGATGTTTTCAGTTGTTGCATATAACAAAGAAATATGAATAGTGGAAGAATGATAGTGGCATCAATTATAGAAACCAAGATAATTGAAGTTTAAAAAATCCCAACCCATAATAATTAAAATAAAATAACTATTAGAAAACAATTAGAAATTTAATAGAGGAATTTCATTTATCTTGATACTGAAAATTATCATCAAATTAACATAAAATAAAAAAAACATCTAATTAAGGAAACTAATAGTAAAAAATCTTTCAGAAATGTTTTCACCCTATTTTGACTAATTTCAGCTCTTGAAAAGGATAGAGAGACTACAACATTTTACAGGAAATATTTCTCCTAGAAAAAATAATTCCTATAATTAAGACACCTCAGTGGCAGAATTGACTTGGCAAAAATAGCTCTTTAGTTCATAGAGAAAACAATCAGTACAGTATAATCATTGGAATGTGTAGACATTTAAATAATCTGTTAATAGTCTATTGAAATGCTGATGAACATTACTAGGAATTTTTGGACAAAATTTTAAGAATCTAGAACAGCATTCCCAACCTTTTTTGACTTGTGTACCCCTTAGCAACCCATTTTCTTAAGTTTTATTTCCCATTTCCCATTTTATTTTGTGTGTTCACACCTTTTTCAATTATACAGTGCTGTATAATTACATGTAATAAAAGTTTTTTTTAAATCAAAAAGCATTGGAGGAAGGACACAGATAAATGTAATAAAAAAGGGGATTATATTTTTATTTAAAATTAAGCTTCAAGTGCCATAACGTCACCAAAGGCCTCAATGTAGAATCTGGATATTCTTATAGTACATCTGCCATTATTATTATTATTATTATTTTTTTTTTTGCATATTCCTAAACCACCAAGTGTGTACCCCAAGTTGGAAATCACTGATCTAGAGTATAGTTAAAGTTAAATAAATTAGTAGAAAAGAAACACATTACTTAGATTTACTATTAACAAAAAAAAAACTACCAGTATGTAAATGTTTCTAAAGAGACATCCTATACTATTGATATTTGTGCAAAAGTAAATGTATGATATGCATAAAAAGCATAAATGTTTATGGTTGTTTTATGAAAAGGAAAAGTATATAGTGTAAAACAGATATTGAGCAAATAAATGAAAGAATTAGAGAGTTCAAATATAAGCATCTTATAAAGATAAATATATCAATAAAGATTAAGAAAGATCAGGAAGAGAAAATAAAGAACTATGCAAAAAATCTTAATGCGAAGAAAACAAAATAATGGGCATTTTAGAAGGAGAACAATGCAGACATCAGCTTGAAGAATGAACTACCCATAAAGATCACAGTAATCTAGAAGAAAGCCAGAAACATCTTTCACAGGATCAGAAATGAAAAATAAGAAAGACCATGACTTGGTAGATGTTTATAGTATCCATATAATATACCCAAAGCTTGAATTTTATAATCAGTTTGATCCTAAACAATTGGGTTATTTTCACATTTCAAAACTTTATAAATTATGTAATAAGTTTAACGTCTAATTACTAAATTGATCTTAAAATAAGATACTCATTTATAAACAATAATCCATAAACCTGATTTTTAAGTAAAAGATACAACCACCTACCTTAGACCAAATTCTTTAGTATAATCAATTCTTATTATAACCTGAAAATAATTTGATTGACTATGCTTAAATCATCTACAATATTCCTACCATAATAAGAAAATGGATCAATAGAAAGCTATGTATGTAGAACAAACAGAAGTATTAAAACAGTTTTAAGACTATCTATAGAAAAGAACCTTTAAATATGGCATTAAACAGAACATGCATTACAGAAGGATGTTGAAATTAAATGGCAGGAAGTGGCAATCAAATAAAAATTGGGTCTGCCTTAGTAAAAATATCAATTGATATCATTTGAAATAGCACAACTGGATTCATTTAAATTAAAATGAATTCAAGTGAGATAATTGAAATGACATCAAATGATGATAAATTAAATCAAATAATATCATTTGAAATATTGTCAGCTGATACCATTTAACTTGAATTGTGTTGAATGAATATTTTAGACTGAAATAATAAATGAATATTGTTGATCAGATATCAATGATTGATTTCATTTAACATTAATATTCACTTGAAATGCTGTTAGCTGATCGTATTTCAAGTAATTCAGTTTGTTTTAAATGAGTATTTTAGATTATGAAATTAAAATAAAATTTTCTAACTTAATGTATAGTTCTTTTACTTCAGGGAAAAAATGTTCAAAATATAAAATTATTTTGAAATAATATATATATTATATATATATATATTATTTCAAAATAATTATTATATTATAATAATATATATATATATATATATAGTACCATATTTTAATTGATTTCAAATTATTTCAGTCGCTTCTAATCAGCATTTATAAATATCAAATGATATAAAGTTAGTCAAGTTATTTGAAATATTTCTAAAGCTTACAGATGTATTAAAATCATTTATCATAATTTTAAATGTCATAAGTTAATTGATTTGAAAAGTCATATTGACAAATTCATTAATATAATCTCAAATCCATTCATACCTTTTTGGATCATTTGAGTGTGTCAAATGAAATCAATTGATATTTCTATTAGAATAGATATTCTGTGAGAGTAACAGAAGAATTTCTGATAATGCTGGTGGCTTATACTGGTGTAAAAGTAAAAAAATATTTAAAAAGAATGAAAGAAAAAAAGAATTTATGCTCTGGGCAGTAATCCAAATAAATTCTGAAATTAAAAAGTCAAAAATCTATAAACATAATGCTTGTCAAACTCTGCCTTGATCTGAAACAGCTAATAGATTATATTTCCTGGTTTTTTTTAGCTTGAACTAAACTGTTTATTACATAAAATTGCTGATAAGTCTTAGACATTAGAACATAGTCTTTTCAAGGATTTTCCTAATATAAATGTTATATTGTTTTTATTTAGATTCTGAAGACAGATTAAGAAAGTTATTATATACATTTCATGCCAAGTTACAAAGATAGCACATTAAATAAACTGTCTTTCAGCATTAACAGCTTTTTTTAATAAATATAAAATATACATGTAAGTACCTTCAATAATGTATTATTGTCTTTGTCATACAAGAATTTTCTGTATAATAGAGTATCAAATAGAAATTCCTTTAAATAAGAGAACATAAATTTATAAATTTTTTCTTCATATGCTCAAAAACAAACTTTTTCATTAAAAAGTTTAAAAAGATGACTGTAAAATATAGAAAGCAACTAATACACTCAACAACCTTTTAAGCAATAAAACAATATTTAATAAACATTTTTGGTCTTATTAAAAGGCTGTCTTCAGGTTAAGAAGAATTTTATCGAATGTTATAAATTCAATGATTAAAAACAAGAAAAAGAATACAAGTTTAGAGAACACCAAATATTTTAAATTGAACCAAAATAAAAGACCATAAAATAATAAAAATAAATAAAAGAAAGTAAGTTACAAAATGTATATAAAAATTACCCACGTAGGCGATGTAGAACAAAAATAACAGAACTATAATAAAAAATGTCCTTGAAAGTTACACAGTATTAATTTTGAACCATTCCCTCAAAATGGTTTATAGTATGTTGGGATCTTTATAGTTAATACTTAGGCCTTGATATATTGATTTATATATTTTCAAGGCTTCTGCATGCCATAGGAGATGTTTATTTCTAATAATCTTCATGATCCTGGCCTGATTTCAATGTATTGTACACTAACTAAACCATCAAGTGTGTAAGCTGATAATGTCATATCAGGTAGAGGTTCTCCTTCAAGCAGGTTCTGAGAAATCTAGATGTTGCACCACATATACTAGATGTTTTATGATCAATGATGGGAATGGAGTATATTCAAGAGGTCTGGTAGGTCCTTGTCATTATGGAGTATTTTGTAAACAATGGAAGATCTTTTATAAACATTTCTCTTGTCAGCAGCTTTCACTATTTCTTTAAGGATGTTATGCATAGGTTGGAAGTACTCAATTATGGTATAATGGTTTTTTGAGGTTGTATCTGCTGTTTAGAAGAACAAACCTTCCAATAAGAGCTTGTATAGATTTAGGATTGTATCCAAATTATATCTATATTGCTAGTGTTTTGATGCATTCCCATTCTTCCAATCTAGTGTAAATGTTTTCCTGTTAAAAACAATAGAAAACAATAAAAATTTATATTAGTATTCTAGGGCAATATTTAAATCAATAGAAATCAATAAGCATTTCTATTGGTATTCTAGGGGAATAAATTATTTAAACAAATCTTCTTTTTCTGTCCGTGCCTTCTC